TACAGGCCGAGCTCAGTTATGAAGGCAGTCTTTTCTTCATCAGTTGGGTCCATCCTGATATGGTTGTAGCCCGAATAGGCGTCTAGGAAGCTTAACAACTCATGGCCTGAGGTCGCGTTCACCAGACGGTCGATTCTGGGGAGTGGGAAGCAGTCCTTTGGGCAAGCTCGATTCAGGTCGGTGTAGTCAACGCACATGCGCCATTTACCGTTAGCCTTTTTACCAGAACGGGGTTGGCCACCCAACTCGGGTAATGGACTTCCCTGATAAAGTCGGCTGTGAGGAGCTTCCCGACCTCCTCGTCGACTGCCCTCCATCGCTCTAGGGCTAAGTTGTATTTCTTCTATCTAACAGGCCTAACTACAGGATTAGTATTAAGCTTGTGAGTTATGATGCTAGGGTCTATGCCGGGCATCTCTGTCGTGGACCATGCAAAAACATCTAAATTTTCAAGTAAGAAGCGTACCAGTTGAGATCGTAGAGGCTTCTCAATGGAAGCGCCGATCTGAAGTATACGAGCTGGGTCCTCCGTCGATGCCGGGACAGAGACAGTCTCTTCTATGGGTGCAGCTCGCTCCTCGCATTGCTCCGTATGTCGCTCCAGCTCGAGGTCGTCGGCCACCTTGGCTTTCCCTTTTGAGGGCGGCGACATAGCAATTGCGAGACTCAAGCTAGTCACCTCGCGCTATCCCAATTCCGAAGTCCATGGGGAACTTCATTGCCAAATAGTAAGTGGAGACCACTGCACGTTGCTTTCTTAGAGCTAGAGCTGGTCGAATGCTGCTTTGAAGAGGATATCTGTCGAGCTGCCGGAGTCGACGAGGACACGCCTGGCTTCAAAGTCATTAATCTTTATCTTTATGATGAGCGCGTCATCATGGGGGTAGTGGACCCCGCACGCGTCATCCTCTATGAAGAAGATCGGATCTTTCGTCCTTAGCCGCTTCGAGGGATTTTGTTATTCCCTGGCGGCCTCGCGAGCTGATGTCCGAGCTGCAGCTGTGGTACAGCCCACGGCGATCGAACCTCCAATGATCACGTGGATAGTCCCCCGAACTGGTCTTTCTTTTGGGGGCTGCCTCTACGGTTGTTCTGCCTACCTGCTAGATTCGGTAGAATCTCTACTCTGCTCCCCCTGCCGACCTGTTTTATTATTATTATTATTTTGTACAAAATTTCTCAAGTATCCGCGACAGATGAGCTCCTCTATCTCGTCGTTGTTTTTACAATTTTCGGTGCTATGACCGTGGTCTTTATGGAAACTACAATACAAATTTTTATTCCTTACACTAGGATCAGCCTTCAGCCGAGGTGGCCACTTCACATACGGATCGTCCTTGATTGCCATAAGGATCTCGGCCCGCTTTGCATTCATGGGCGTGTAGTCCCTTCTTTCGGCTGCTGGAGCTCGGAAAGGCTGACTCGGCCTTGCCCCCCGAGCTGGGTCTTTTTTCTTCTTACCGTCCCCTTGAATCGAGGACTCGCCTTCCCTTTTTCTTTTCTTGGGCGCACTTGCGTTCTTCTGGTTGATTTCCTCCTCTATCCTTATAAACTAATCCGCGAGCTTGAGGAACTCGGTCACAGTCTTGGGCTGATTAACAACCACATGCCACTTGAATTCTTTATGAGTAATGCCTCGCTTGGCTGCGGTGAGACGAACTGCGGGGTTTAGATCATGTATTTGCAAACAAGCGTCATTGAACCGCTTGATATAACTCCGAATGGACTCCCCTTCCTTCTGGACTATGCCAATGAGGCTTTCTTGAGTTCTTGGGCACCTCTTGCTGGTGACAAAATGGGAGGTGAAGACTTGCATGAACTGTACCCAGCTTCTTATCGATCCGGGCGCAAGGTTTCGGTACCATGTGCGGGCCACCCCTTTGAAGGTGGTGGAGAAAGCCACGCACGTACAGGATTCACTGGCCCTTGCCAAGTGCATCTGGGACTGGATGGCGTCCACATGGTCATTCGGATTGAAGGACCCGTCGTACTTACCCAGGGGGGGGAGGTTGAAGTCCTTTGGCATAGGGACCGCAAGAAGTTCTGACGACAGAGGGTAAGGAATTGAAAGGAGAGGAGTAGCTTTGACTTCATCTGAGCTTACCTCCTCCTTACCCTTCAGCTCGGGCAGGACGTGGGTAGCAATTCGGCGAGCTCGTCGGCGCCTCCGCTACTGCTTCGTCGGCGCGGCGTTGGTGTTGTTGGCTTCAGTATTACCGAGCTCGATGGTCTCGAACTGTTAATGATAGCTGTGAACCGAAGGGCCCTGCCTGTAATCTGCAGCGAGGACCTCGAACTCGTTTTCTGCGAGCGGGAGCTCGAACTGAGAGTGCTGAGGCGATGCGGGCCTGACCGGCTAGGAGGCCCCCGACCTGCCTGTAGGCTACGAGGCGGGGGTGACTGGTCTCTCCTTCCTGCCGTGGGACGAGGCTTGGCTTTTTAGAAGGATTCTGGGTTTGAGAGGCCTCTTCCCGGCGAGGACATTCGCTTCGGCGGGAGGGCTTGGCTTGCTTCGAGGTCGGATGCCGAGGGGGAAGCAACTGTTAGGCCTGAGGCAGTGAAGGGAAATGCTGTTGGTACTGGTATTGAGAAACTTGATGCAACACTTGCTGCTGGTAGAGTTGAAACTACTGGAACTGTTGCATTTGAGCTTGCATGGCTCGCATGCACTGCACCAGGTCTTCAAGTTGGTTTTGGTTGCTCACTGGGGGAACAACATAAGGTTTAGTAAAGGTTGCTCCAACCGTGGAAGGGAGTGGAGCATTCACAGGTGTCATTGTGTGAGGCACGTTCAAGCTGGGAACTCCGTCCACGGAGAGGGGGACGGTGAACTGTCCAATGCAGACAATAGGGAGCTGAGGTTGTTCCCCAAAAGCATTCTGGTCGGCACCACGTCCGACATTACTAGAGGAAGCCATGCATGCTGAGTTCTTAGAGAAAGTTGCAGAGATTAGAGGAAGTTTTTTTGAAGCGATTTCCACAGACGACGCCAAATGATGCAGCGCAATCCAGACACTCCTAGCTGGCGGACGCTTGGCTCCTAGCTGGCGACGGACAGTACTTGAGAAGAGGAAGGTGAAGGATTCCCGGGGAGCTCGCCTGGTGGGAATACTCTGATGCTTAAGTTAGAATACTTGGGAGAGCTGTAAGGATGCAAAGAGAACTAAGAGTGCAGATAGCGCTATAACAGTAAAATTCAAGATTAATTCAAGGTCAATTCAAGATACCTTTGCCCCTTCGATACTGGGGCCTTTAAATGCAGATGTTCTTGTCAAATCGGGCGTAACCGCCACTAGCCCTCTGTCGCAGCCGTTATTTGCCTGGGCTGCGCAGGTGACTGTTGTAGAGTACTGCCCAATCGGATGAGAGACATGACCCGAAAAGGACAGACACGCCACCACCTGTCGAGAGACGTGGGTGCAGTCTGTTGGGCTGGCAGGGACTGTGCCGTTAGTCAGGAGACGTGATGCAGTCTGACGGGTACGGTCTCGTCAAATAAGAAGCTTCTTGAGAACGTCGCGTCGCTTAACAACGAGCTGCTTTGTAGCGAGCTATCCCATAACGAGCTGCCTTGTAGCGAGCTATCCCATAGCGAGCTGCCTTGTAGCGAGCTCCTGAATGTGTTCCGAGGTGATTCCGCCTGAGGTTGCCTTTGGGGCAGTCTTCTTGCCTAAGTATTGGAGCGAGCTGATTCTCTCAGCTCGCGAGCTGGGATAGACTTGACTTAGAGTATTCCCTTTCTACATACCGAGGTCCATGAGCTCGCACTGTAGCGAGCTCATTCCGTGGTGAGCTGTCCTGCGAGGACCTTAACGAGCTCGCTACTCAGTCGTAGCCAGGCTGTCATGCTGAGCTGTTGCTTATGCTGAGTCACGTCCACGTGTTGCCTTCTTAGGAGGACGGGTCAAATCACCCTCCATCAACCCCTATTATAGTTATTTTGGGGTCTGACCTGGTTCAAGGGGTAGATGGGCCTTAAATCGACACTCGAACCAATTTGGAAAAAAAAACAACTATGTAAGTGTAGCACAATATAGGCCAATACGCCCCAAACGATGAATCAGAGATATTTAGAACCTTGGTTTCAACCCACTAGTATGAAATGGCAAATAGGTGTGGGTCATTGATGGGTGAGTACCACTCAACCCACACCCTCGACCCACTCATTTGCAACTAGGGATGGCAATAGGCAGGTTCAAGGAGGGTTTTGTAAATTCTAGACCCTACCTGCTTTCCTAAACCTCCCACCCATACCTGGCCTAAAACCCGTGAGTTGGATTTTGAGAATCCAAACCCTCCCCGTACATGAAAATGCAAAATCCTCCCCAACCCTACCCTCTTCGAATTCAAGGGTAAGAGTGGGTTGGGTTTAGAACCCGCATGTAATTTCCTTTTATTTTTTTGTCATATATAAGCAATAAATAAGTAAAATAATATAAATAAACAACAAAATTTCCAATTATTTGATTAAGACATGTAAGTGATAGAAAACACATAAACTATCAATTATCTTTCACATCAAATTCAAAATATTATTAAATTCAACACCTAGTACATAAAATTTATATGCTTTCCAACAATATGCGAATCGGGTTTAACATAATACCGTACCTTACCTGTGCTAGTACGGGTTGTAGAATCCCAAATCGGTCATTCAAGTAAAAAAACCCGCCCCGTTGGAGAGGGTAGGGGCGGGTACCCACCGGATAGGGTAGAAATTGCCATCATTACCTGCAACCCTAATTTTAACATTCTTAGCATCCTAGCCTTATTGTCGAACATTTGGATTTGCCATGTCATCTGTACAGTGGCAAGAATGAGGCCAGTCGTGTAGGTAGCTTCCTAGTTAACCCGATCGATGAACCTTTTTTCCTACATAATAATATATTAATTATTATTTTTATTAATGGTCAAATGTTGGAAGTAGGAAGATTCAGTTGAAGTGAAAACGTGTCCAATTGGCTCGTTTTCAGCCATTCAACAGGCTTCAGCATATTTCAGACATTGGAATATTCTATATGACATGAATGCTCAGCCATTGTCCTCTCTTGCCTCCTCTCTCTTCCCATGCATCAACTGCCTCACCAGTAGCAGCAGTAGCAGAGGAGTTCGTCCAGTCTCTTTCTCGGCTTACAGATGTCTTTAAACACCCTGCTAGCAAATGTCTCCTCCTTTCACCCCCGGACACCTCTGCAACGCTTCCACAGAAAACAAACAAAGAATACGGGGTTTTCCGGTTCCCGACATAGACCGTTTTCGAGCGAGAGTCCAAGATCTCCTTTGCCCTACCTCTACACTCGCAGAATACTCAAGTAAATTCCCCTCTCCTTTTTTTTTGCTTGTGAGATTATCTTGCTGATCGAATTGGATGAAAGTGAGGTTCTTGTACGGAAAGGGTAGAGTTTTAATTAGAATATGCAACTGTAGCCTTTTCTTTTTGATCGATATATGTAACTTAGCCTTTGGCTCATGTCTATCACTGAATGGTGAAATTGCCCTTTATTTGTCGATCTGTGCACATTGTGCTACAGTATGTTATGCATTGGGATTCATGGTAAGTTTTATTATCTAATTTCTGTATGGCTCGTATGATCACATTCAAGATCTTAATTAGGGGAACGATCTGAAAAGTAAGCCATTCACTAAACATTACCATGCTAGTGAAAGAAAAGGAAAAGAACAGCTACAAACTGTTGATGATGTGGTTTTATCCCATTAATTTCATTGGTTTGTTTGAGTATTGTGGACCATGGGAATCAATTCCCTCAATGTTGGAAGAAAGGGCTATCGATGACATGTGAGAGTTGATGTTAAACTTGCAATGAATTAGAATCTTAAGCCTCTCTGAAGCTACCATGCCAATACCTCTATGGTTGGCATTGTACATATAGGCTTCTATGCATTTCTACAATTTATCTTCAGTTTACGCTATTAGGATCACCAGTCTGTGCAAGTTTCTATGCCTTCCCTAAATGCTTTGTAAAAAAAGAAGAAATACAAGGAAGGTGACCAGAAGTCACCCAAGAGAAAAGAAGAAAAAACCAGCCCTAACACCTCAAAAAACCACAAAGTCACAAACCATAATACCAGAATTACAAGAAAGTCATTTCAGAGTCATACAGAATGATAATCATTGTCATAACCTTTTTTGTCTCTTAATTTGAAATCTGGAGAATCCATTGACATTAAATCATTCCTTGCATGTCGACCAGTCTCTCCCCCTTCCCCCCCCCCCCCCCCCCCCCCCCCCTTCTGAAATGGTAAATTGAATTGCCATGCCTTTTTATTCCTTCCAAAAGTGTATTACCAAAATTTTGACGTATTTTAAAGGTGTACTTGTGTGGGAGCTTCAATTGAAGAAAAATCATGGAGGTGATTGTAGGACTAAGTTTCAATCCTCTAGAAATTTATTTTCTTAGGCTCAGTTTGGAAAGAGTACAACTACAAAAATGTACAGTACAAAATACAAATACATACAAAATACTAGGTTTGGCACTCTACATATTTGTACTTGTACTCCTTCCAAACTGAGCCTTAGTAATAAATAGAAGTTACTATTTATAGAAACTTTCATACTTGTTATTTATAGCAAGTTCCATACTATTTATAGTAAAATTGTAATTTACAATTTTAATAATTTGTTGTTTCTTTACATTAAGTTGGTTTAAATATTAAAGTGCTCCGGAGTTAAGTCCCTTTTCTGAGCGTCTGTCTCTTTGGTTACCTATTTGAGTGTCTCTTTACTCCTAAAGTTTAGCACTTTAGGAGTTAAGTCCTTATCTGAGTGTCTCTGCGGGTTACCTATTTGCATAAATAGAACCATTATAATAGGAATTTTAGAATTGAATTAGTAGAATGAAAAGCTTGTTTGAAGTTACCTGTGATCCTGTGCATAAGTTTGATCTTCTTCTTCTTAGGTGTAATGTTTCTTCTGTTGTCTTTCCTTTCTCTTTTCAGATACAGATCTCTTCTTTTCATGATTCAGACCTGTAACTCCCTCTCTTCTTCCCACCATGGTCAACTTAATAGGATATTCACCTTTCCGTCCTACATCATGCGCTCTGTTTGTTATATTCAATTGTGGAGCTTGAACATGCTTATGGGCAAAAGGCTTTAGATGAAAATGCTGAAAATGTACCCAAATTTGGGACATGAGTATCAGTCATTGAGATGGCTGTGAACCAATAAGCACGGGCCAAAGAACTGTCTAGATCAATTCTATAATTTCATTGAAATCAACTTTCTTTCTTTTTTTTTTTTTTTCTATTTTGTTAACTATGTAAGTTCTTTTGATCCCAATTTGACAATCTTAAAAAATTATACTTGATGGAAAAATTGTTGATGAATCAACTTCTTCTTTGGACATCCTTTTCAGTTTCCTCCAACTTGCCACAAAAATCTTATTAGAGTCTTTTATTATAATTTTGTAAAAAWTTTGAAGATATTGCTATTGCAGATATCAACATATGGTTTTTWATTCAACAATGAGATTTTTATTTGATAAGTAATCGTAATTCTATTGATGTTTTAGTGTACAAGTATAGATATGCAAAAAAGGGGCCAGGCCACAGCCCAAAATAATGTTATGGCGTTCAACCTCTGAACCCAGAACAGCTTGCCAATTAAAGGCAGAATTCCTTCTTTGAAAAGTTTTGAACTCTTTCAAGGCCAAAGCCTATTCCATTAGGAAGCTGCAAACATCTACATAAATATGAAGGAATGTCCTATTCAAAAAAAAAAAAAATGAAGGAATGACCTTTCTCAACTTTCAGAAATCTGCAGTTACTCTATTTCCATATAGATCAAGAGATTATAAATGGGATCATAGCCCATAACATTGTCTCTCAAGAGCAAACAGAATAAAGCAGTCCAAGAGAGAAGAATGAAGCACATATCAGATAGAATGATTCAAACCATACCAAAAGAGAAACAGGTATCCCATAACACGAAAGAGTTTTTTTTTTCCTATCCAAAAACAAGTGATTGACAGATTTCTTTGACTTTTAGAAAAAAGATGCCTATTAAAGATTGGGATGTCTTTGTTGTTTAGGTGGTTGGTAGTTAGGGTTTTATCCAGAAAGTCCAGCCACATGAAAGCTTTGACTCTTGGAGGAACCCAATGACCCCAGATGCATTCAGCATCTACAAAACTTGGAAGTCCTCCATCCAGGGGCTAATTATCACTAGAATAAGAACACAATGTTCCTGATTCATTGGGGTTTCAGAAAGAAAAAAAAAAGAATTTACCATGTGACTTCAGAGTTAATTACTGTTCTAATATTTTTTTTTTGATAAATATCATGTGCCTTTTTTATTTTGCAATCTGTGTTCCTCCACAATAGTCTGTTTTTTCTTCTGGAGGTTTTGGGATGTCCATTATGCAGTCAATCTTTGTTGAATTTTATGTCAACTAGTTAAGTTTTTCTATATGTTCTTCATTTTAGGCCCTTATTAGCACCTAGTAGTAATGAATTTTCTTTCTTGCTGGTATGATTATATTTACCAACTAAATGTCATTAAGTCAATGTTTCCTTCTGCAAAGCATTTCCGGGATTTATTTACATGTTTGTGATTGGTGATTGCTCATGTTATATCATTATCATCATGACACTTTTGGTTGGATCTTCTCAAGTGCAATCCCTGATGTAGTTATGCCTAACTTTTCTGGTATAAACATATAACTGTGGAACCTATATATGTGAATTATCATCATTTTCTATTTGTAAACAGGGTTCAAAGCTTTCAACCACAAGATGCTGGAGACTCTGAGCCTTTGACAACAGGAGATACTCCAAATGGACAAGACAGAGGTATTGAGGAAGTACTTAGAGATTTGAAAGTTGAAACGAGAAAACCAGGGAATTCCTTCTTGGCAAAACTAGCAATTGCTCTAGGCATAGCTGCAACTATGACAGTTATATCTGTTGGATTTAAGAGGCCTACCCTTGGTTCATCCCTTGGGTTTTCGTCTCTGGGTGATGGTTCATCAGCTTTGCTTCCAACTGCTGCTCCTGTTGGTTTTACATTGAATATTTTCAAATGGAAAGTTGTACTACCAGAATATGCGCCAGGGTATGCGCCTAAATTTGTATTGGCATAGCTTGTTGTTTTTTTTTTCCATGCCAACTGATACCAATAACTATTTCTGGCTTTCTATTGGATGTCTCTGGTGAAAACAATCATAAATTTTTATAGGTTTTAGAGTTCATCTATTAAGCATTTCATCTTCAACTGTTGGGACTGCATTGATTATATTTTAGATGATGTTATATTTTCTAGGGGCCATGAACCAATTGCTTGGATTTTGACATGTGCATGTGCTATTGCTTCTGCTTGAATTCATTTCTGATGATGGATGGGTCTGAAAATTTCTTCTCAAATATACTTTTGCAGATGGATCTATTTTTGGTTGCTTATGGCTGCTGGTTTTGGGCTTTTCATCAGTGAAGAAGCTCTAAATGTTTGGGTTTGTCCTTTGTACTGGTACTTCTGTTTCACAAAACTCAGATGGTTCACCTCCCTTTACCCATTCAGTCATCTATCACATTTACCCCTTAAATTTCTCTGTTATGTTCACAATTTTAGTATCAATTGCTTGCTTGTTATGGCTTATTAAAATTTAGGTGCAATCTGTTTCAGATTTGCTACTGCACAAGTCATGTTCACAGTTTGAATATGTAGGTTGGCATATCTTTAGCTCGGATGCTGTCTTTGGATGGCACTTGGAAGTCATTTGCTGAATCTTTTTCAAGAAACGCCCCATATATAATATCCACAGTGCTGTGGGTTTACTGGTATGCTTTTGCTTCATGTACTTTGGGTTTTCTAAATTGTTTTTATCTTAGTTACTTATTTTCTCAGGTTGTAAACTAAAAGAAATTATTCTTGTTTGGGGAAATTAAAGAAATGTGAACCCTGCCTCCCAAAATATGTTTAGCATAAAATAGTGTGTTAGTTTTTTAGTTTGAAAATTTCTATAGAATTTAGATTCTTGTGGAAAAATTCATTCCTACAGCTTATCATTGTTAGTCTTTCAACACAATTTTTTGAGAGTTTGTCTTAATGGCATGTTTCCTCACCATTTTCTTGTTTGGTTTTGTTCCCTTTTTTTGATAAATAGTTTTGTTCCCATTTTCACATAGTAATTTGTCTTTGAACCATGAAAAGGAAAAATTTTCATTGTCTGAAAAAGGTAAATGGTGTTTGAATTAGTGAAAGCATGGTATTAGAAATCTTAAAAGTTTTGAAGTCAGAATTTTTTATTGTTTTGTCTATCTGCACTTTGGAAACTGGAATATTTTTCCCCTTTCCCGTGCACTGATTTATATTACTATTCATTGGGTATACCAATCTCATGTATCAAAATAAAACGTTCAGGGGTGTCTGTATTAGCGATATGGTACCATTTTACTTTGGAAAGCTTTTCAGACAGGCTGGTGCATCTGATGATGTTTGTTCTAAGGTTTGTTGCTTTCTCAACTCTTATGTATTATTTCAATATAAGCAATTAATATTACATGTATGCATCTCTTATTTAGTCAGATTGATAGAAAACAATCTTGTGAGTATGACAATGGGTCCATGTAGAATCACCTTTGTATTGGAATCCATCTCTGTTCACAGGGGCTGCAATCCACATTAGAATTTCAAATCATATCAAACCTAGAGATTGGAGGTCTCAATCCAAAATTTACAACAAATAGGACAGCATAAATTGTCCCCTAAGGGAGGATGATATTACCATACTGATGAAGTTGCTATATTTCTTTAAACTCCCTGCATCATGAGGCCAAATTCAACTTAATTGCATTTATCTGACCTGTTGCCTTGCCAATATCTTATTTAGTTATTTATGATTGTTTTCTTAATCTTATATTCTTATCACTCGTGTAGTTAGGGATTGGAAAACAGAAGGCATTAAGCATCACTCGTCTTGTGCAGAGATATGGTAATCTCATAGGTTTTGGTAAGTTCTATGTACTGGATTATATTCACATTGCCAGATTTCTGCCCTTGTTGTATGTCTGTAGAGGCAACAATTACATGTCAAATAATGCAATACACCTGTTTATTTTTGACAACTTAACAGTTAAACTTTATCTACTGGTGCGAATTAACCATTAAGGGCCTGTTTGGGAGGGCTGATCTAAAGATTCAGCTAAGCTGGTTCAGCTGCTTTGAAGCTCTCCGATTTTTTCACAAAACATGGCTTATAGGTTGTTCATGTGGGGCCCGCCTCAGAAAGCCAGAAGCCATTGTGCTTCAGCCTTCCCAAATGGGCACTCAATGGTTCTACCACAAAGTGATGAAGTGAGGTAGGGCTAGTATACCTTATTAAATGGGTGACCCACTTCTAAACTGTTGAGAGCCCATAGGATCTACCGCCACAGACCACTACTACTCAAACCCATGACAACAACCCATAGGCCATGGGTGTAGCCACATGCACAGAACCCACTCTGCATCCAGTTTATTTTGTGTATACTGTATACTGGAAGGCAGAATGACACATCAGCTAATTAGTTAGGACCTGCATGTGTGAAGTCAGAATCGGTTAGAGCAGAATAGTGGGTATTGATTGTAATAAAGAGATATTATATATAAAGAAAGCTGAGAAAGAGGAGCATATGGTGAGTATTATCCCAACTTCCTTCTTCTTTCTTATCTTCTTCTTCTTGTAGGAGGTGAACCCCCTCAAAGAGATACCCAACAAAACTAGTATCAAAGTGGATGTCTTCCACTAAGACAGCTACTATGGGTAGCCGCTTGGACAAGCTTGAAGTTGATGTACACAAGAGTGCAATAGGAATAGGTTCACCAGCTCCACCAGTCGAGATGTTGAGGTGGAGGGATCAAACTAGAGTGATTCCAAGTGCGGAGGAGGTCCCAAGTCCCAACACCCCTACCCCAAGCTTCTGTCATTTTAGGATAGGATCCAGTCTCTTGGGTTTATAAGTTTGAGCGGTACTTCTAATACTATGATATTATCGGCTCTTAGGGGGTATTGATCGTCTCCATTTAACCTATCAAAAAAAAAAAAAAAAAAAACGATTGCCTTCATTTCTGACTGGTGATGCCCTGCAATGGTTTCAGTGGTATCACTGATCTCACCCATGTTTGTCTTGGACGGAACTGATAGAGCAATTTGGCATCATTGGTTACAATGACCTTGATGAGAATCTAACTAAAGCAAAACAGATTGGGAATGTTCTGGAATACCAAAATGAGTTCAAGAAGCTTGCTACCCGCGTCCATGGCTGTCTTGAAAAGGCTCTAGTCAGATGCTTCATTGGGGGACTGCGGGATGACATTAGGTTGGAGGTTAAGGCCTGGCAACCAGCAATAGTAATGGCAGCTGCAGGTCTTGCCCACATCCATGAAGAGTAATTGAACTGCCTGAAGAAGGTTCCTAAGAACTTGGCCCCACTTTTACCTACCCTGGTCAAGAAACCCGAACCATTCCAACCCAAACCAATTGGACCTGGACTGAAGCCTACTCTACTATTCAAAAGGTTAAGTTGGGCTGAGATTCAAGCCCGATGCAATAAGTGGTTGTGATACAATTGTGACGAAAAATTTGCACTAGGCCACTAATGCAAGACACAACAAGTGTTTTTTTTTTTTTTTCTGATAATTGTCACAACAGGTGTTTCTTCTTCAAGCCGAGGATGAGGACGACACTAAGCCGGTTCCTGATGAGGGTCAAATGCAGCAAAGGCCATTGAGTTGGTCCAATTGGACCACCCTAAAATCTCTCTCCATGCCTTAACTGGGCAAGCCTCCCCGTATACCATGTAGCTCAAGGGACAGGTTAGGGGCTGGATTTTGACAATTTTGGTGGATAGTGGGAGAGTTCAATGAATCTTGTTACCCAAGCAACTCGCTTTAGCAGTTCAGCTGGTGAAACCATTCAGGGTGCATGTGGCTAATGGATGTCATCTTTCATGTGAAGGGTTGTGTAAGGGAAACTAAATGAAGGTGCAAGGAGAAGAATTAGTGATGGACCTCTATCTCTTAGGGTTTAGTGGGGCCAATATAGTGTTCGGGTCCCAATGGTTAAGTCAATTGAGCTAGGTCATATGTAATTGGGACCAAATGACTATGGAATTCACCCTTGGGGGCTGAAGTTACACGTTGAAGGGTATCTCCCACCTAGGCCCACAAGTCAAAAGTTACGGGCCCATGCTGAAGTCATGTCAAGTTGAAGGCAACCCAATTATCATGCATCTGGCCTTGGGCCGAAACGCCCAATCGGCCTTGAGTTGACTATTACAATGGTTGAGTTACCCAATAGTGAACACTAACGGACTATATAGATATCCCCACTTCCAGAAGATTGAGATAGAGAGGATAGTGAAGGAGATGCTCGACAAAAGGCAAATACAGTCCAGTACCAGCCCATACTTAGGCCCAATGCTTCTTGTGAAGGAGGATGGGTCTTGGAGATTTTGTGTTGACTATAGGGCCCGGAAAAAAACAGTCAAGGACTGATTCCCAGTTCCTATTATTGATGAGCTACTAGATGAATTGAGAGCAACCACAATCTTCTCCAAGCTAGATTTGAGGTCAAGTTATCATCAAATATTAGTACACCCTGAAGATGTGCACAAAATTGCCTTTTACACACATGAAGGGCACTATGAGTTTTTGGTTGTGCCCTTTGAACTTTCAAATGCTCCATCAACCTTTTTATTATTAAAATAATATTATATTGAGAGGTTTTATCGAAAGTCATTATGCATTGTACTTCAACTATTAATAAAATGATATATTAATATATTTCTTTTTAAGAAATCAATATTTATGATTCATCGTCGCAGGTATTGCTAAATAAATATATAATTTATATATTTATAATATTGTAATTGAATAAGATATTTGTCGAATCGAATCATGTTATATCCGAATTCGATTCGACTAACTAATCGGTATGAAAAACATATTCGAATTCGATCGTTCATTCAATTCGAATTATCCGAATTTGATTCGTTTAGTTCGAATCTCGAATTTGAATTCAAATTTTCGAATACCATTTACAAGCCTACATAGAACTATTGTCATAGCATATACAGGTCATCACCGACCTACAAAGCATCACAGGGATCAACCGATCCCACAAAAAGGAAAGAATAGGTGCTGATCACCTCACATCAGTTAAGTGAACCTACTACAAGTTCTGTCCTGGCACACGACCAGAAAAAAATAAAAGAGATTGAGTGAACCTACTTTTGGAATCAGTCTGATACTGTACTTTGGATCTTTAGTAAAACAAACAACAGCTGGTGAAGAGAGAAGACAGAGAAAAGAAGGCTTGCTCGATTTCCTTTCAGATCTAATAATCTCACTCCAATACCATATTGTCCAGAAGAGGAGAAGAAGAAGAGAAGGAAGAGAGAAGAGAAGAGAGAAAAATAAGATTTGAGAGCCAAAAAGTCAAGTTGGCGGTGCCAACTTTTGATATTTATATTAGGGCGACATAAACAAATAAAAAGAAAGGGAAAAAATACAATAGTACCCTTGCGGTACTAATCTAAATATACTAATAGAATTTGAACAAACCCTTTATCCCTGTCTTTAGTTTTGTATGGTCTCAAATTCCCTTTTAATCTTATGTCTGTTAGTAAGCTGACCAAGTCTCTTAATTGCTCTATCACCTTTTACCATTATTCTTATGTTTTTCAGGATTTCAAGATGGGGATGAAGATTGGTGGAGGGCATGAAGCTGGTGGATTGTATTATCTTGATGGTGGTGGTGGTTCATCAATAGCTCTTCAGACATCTCTTTCTCCTCTTTAGTGGCACTATAGACTTGGTCATCCATCGCTTAAAGCACTGAAGTTGCTTGTTCCTTCATTGAGTCGTCTTTCTGTTTTGGATTGTGAGTCATGTCAATTGGGGAAACATCATCGTGTTCCCTTTGGTCCTAGCCTCCTAGGGTTGATAATTGTATGTCGAGTCATTTTTCTTAGTTTATTCAGATATTTGGGTCCAAATAAAATAGTGTCATACAATGGTTACAAATACTTTGTTATTTTTGTTTAGGGATGAAAATGGATTGGATCAGATGCAAATTAAGGTATATTCGAATATGATCCGACACTGTTCATGTCGGATCCGATCCGATCGGATCAGATAGGACTCCATTTGAATTTGAATCCTATCGGTAAGTTGGATCTTCGGATCTGATCTGATCCGACTTGTTTTCTTTAAAAATTAATAAATTATTAAAATAAAAATAAAATATACTAACTTAAATAAAGTAAAAACAAAAAAATGCAAGTATTTTTTAATTATTTTCATCACATATATACATGTTTTTATAAAAAAATAAATAATATAACAAATTTATAAAAATATATTTATAAATAAATAAATAACATATATATATGTATTATATATATTTATATTTATAAATATATATCGGATAGGATAAGGGGGTGATCTGAATTCAACCAAATAGGATCATCTCGGATTGGATTAGATCATCCATTTGCACCCCTATTTTTGATGATGATTATTCAAGGATGATGTGGATTTACCTTTTGAAAGAAAGGAGTGAATTATTTTTCATTTTCCAAAAATTTTATGCTGAAATTACTCAATGGCTGATGGGTTAGCTAAGCAAGGGGTGGTTAAGGATTCTTTGTTTTGGGCACATTTTTAGTATTTTATTGTAATTTTGGTGTTGGGGAGTTAAGATAGTTTACCTCCCCATTTTCTATAATTAATTTTCACAAGTATTATTCATTAAATAAAGATTTCTGTTATCAATCAAAAAACAATTATGCTGAAATTTGCAACCAATTTGGTATACACATTAAGATTCTTTGTTCTAATAATGGCCAAGAATACTTTTATACACTGCTTTAGGAGTATTTGGAACATGGCACTACTTACCTTTTGAAAGAAATGAGCGAGTTATTTTCCATTTTCCAAAAATTTTATGCTGAAATTTGCAACCAATTTGGTGTACACATTAAGATTTTTTGTTCTGATAATGGCCCAGAATACTTCTATACACCGCTTCAGGAGTATTTGGAACATGGCATTACCCATCGGACTTCATGTACCTACACCCCACAACAAAAAGGGGTGGCTAAGAGAAAGAATCACCATCTTTTGGAAACTGCTCGGTCCCTTTTGCACCATATGAATGTACCCAAATGTTTTTGGAGTGATGTGCTTACATCTTGTTTCCTCATTAATCGGATGCCCACACCCATCCTTGAAGGTCATTCTCCTTTCACCACTTTGTTTCCTACCTTGTCCCCATTTCCTCTTATTCCCATGGTTTTTGGGTGCATATGTTTTGTCCACAATCTTGGACTTGAAATGGACAAATTAGATACACGATCCACTAAGTGTATCTTTCTTAGCTATCTTGGACCTAGAAAGGGTATAAGTGTTATAACCCCAGTTCCTTGATATTACTTTCTTTGAGTCTTCCGCTTTTTTTTTTTCCATCACTACTCAACTCTCCAAACCCATAGGTGTTTCAGCATCACTTTTGTTAATATTCATTCATTAAGTTACATTACAAGTATGCCCTTAAGTGGGCAGCCAGCTAAGCAAGAACTTAAAGTAAGCTTATAAAAAGAAGTAACAAGCCTACAAAGACAGGCCCATTAACAAACAAATAAATAACATACTACAAAAAAAAATAAAAGAATAGATATTAGGGCCCATTCGGCTCAGTCTCTCTATAGAACCAAATACCAAGTTAAGTAGTGATGTGGGTGAGGAGTTTGAAGATCCTGGAAGGTACAGGTGGTTGGTGGGTAAACTAAACTACCTAACCATTACTCGGCCAGATATTTCATTTGCCATTAGTGTGGTAAGTTAGTTTATGCAGAATCCTCGGGTTTCACATTGGGATGCAGTTCTAAGGATTGTAAGGTATTTGAAGGTAGCTCCTAATCGTGGTTTGTTATACAAGAGTGGAGGAAATCTTGAAATAGAGGGGTACATTGATGCTGATTGGGCTGGTTCTGTATCAGGCAGAAGGTCCACTACAGGTTATTGTACCTTTTATGGGGGTAATTTGGTGACATGGAAGAGTAAGAAATAGACAGTGGTGGCAAGAAGCAATGTAGAAACTGAATACAGAGCCATGGCACATACAACTTGTGAACTAGTGTGGTTGAGAAATCTTCTACATGAGATGGGGTACTCGATTGACACTCTGATGAAGCTTTATTGTGTCAACCAAGCTGCAATCCATATCTCTTCTAATCCAGTTTTTCATGAGCAAACAAAACATATAGAAGTTGACTGTCACTTTGTGAGAGAAAATGTGCTTAGTGGAGTGATAGATACTGCATATGTTAACACAGGAAGTCAATGGGTAAACTTGTTCACCAAAGGGTTGAGTTGGGGAAGAGTAGACTATATATATAACAAGTTGGGACTATATGATATATACTCACCAGCTTGAGGGGGAGTGTTAGCGTCGATTGTATAGGGGTAGTTTAGTCCTTTTATTTATGCTTGGTATGAGGGGTAATGTTAAGTGATGACGTGTCCCATACTTAAGTAGGGTCATAACAGACTTTTTGTTTTATTATAGAAAACTATAAATATAACCTGGCCGACTAGAGAGTAGATTTTGCTCTCTAGTTCGAATCAGTTTCTTCTTCTCCTCTCTTCTCTTCTTTTCTTCTTCTCCCTTCTATCTCCTCTAACCTGCTTCTAATACTATTTCTAACAGAATTGAAGTGCAGGTCTGAACTTTATCAGGCAGTAATCTAACATAAACCTGTTGGGTAGGGTTCTTATTAACGTAATCTGGTTGGTTGAGGTAAGAGTTTCAACAGCCAATAAAAAGTTCTTACAAGGTTTTATTCCCCTCCATCCACCTTGTGAAGGGACATGACAGAGTAGAACAGGAAAGTCTGTGATAAAGCATAATTGTCACATGCAACATAAAAAAAGGAAAACGTTAAACTCCAGTTATCCCAGATTAATATAATTGGTTCTTCCATATTTCTGTGTGATACTTAGGGTGTTATCTTTCCATTGGCAAGCACTGGATTCATGAAATCTAGAGAACCATTTCTGAACATTTTCTTCAATATGATTTTTCTCTTTCAATGTGTGATGACCCCTTTAATTATCATTAACATCATTATATTAATTGATTTGCGTGTCCAGTGTATGCATCAATAAACATATCTATTCTTTTCATTTTTTATGGACATCTCCTTTTTGCCATTTATTTTATACTCATCATACTATTTACTATTTTTTTTCCTCTGAGAAGGTAATAGTAATTTTTCATTAATAGAAAAAAATAACTAAATGCTGATGGATTTGTGCGTGATATATTAATTGCAGTGGAACGATTTTCCCTTGGAGTGAGAAATCCAACAGCTTTTCTGGCAGGGGCACTGGTTAGTGATTCTCATTTATGTTGAAGGCAATTCATTGCTGACATAACTATGCAGTCTTCTTATTCTGATTTTTAACCATCAAGATCATCTTACCTGACTTTGCAAGTTTCTGCTTTCATATATTTTCTGACCCATTCTCTGTACCATTTATGTTTGAAATTTCTCTAGCTGCTTTTTTCTCTGAAAAGAATGGCAACTTCTTCAAGAATACTTGCATTTGCTATCTTTTTGGACCAGGTCTCAATCCATGCACAATATGCTCATAGGATGCAGACCATTTCTTCCTTTATTTTAACCGGTTGAATGTAGATAGGTATAAGGCTTACTTTATTTTTTGTGTATAATGTAAGCTCAAACAGAAGTATAGTTTGAGACTTTGAATAAGCATATAGATAATACTCTAAATTTGGATGGATATGTACTTTCCAAGCCATCTAATGATATATAATATAATGATGTAAATGGTTGTTTGGCATGTCACCTGTTACAAGTTTTTTTTTTTTTTT